GAGGATGGCATAAGGGGACTCAAAGGGAACACTTACATGAACTTACCCCACAAAGAGCTATTTAAATAAAAGCATTTGCTTAATATTGACATTTTTCTACCACACAAATACCACAACACATTTATTCTGCACAGACCACTGGGTAGGAGACATGAGGCCTTTGTTTCTTACTGCCCTCAGCAGCCCACCTGAAGCTATAGCAATTCCTAAGAAGTCTTGGGCCAACTGAAGTTGTTGGGTATTCCATGAGTTCCATGAGTGTGATTTTAAATTGTGGTAGTAGTTTGAAGAAAAGAGTCTCGAAACAGAACCACACCAGAGAAGACCTCATTAGTTTAGTTGGGTCTCTGTAACAAAGTAGGACTTTGCCTGATATCAAAAGGTCAAGAAATTACCTATGCAGACAGAAGAGGAAAACTGTCCAGGCATAAGAAACTTGACAAATAGCCAATGCTGAGGAAGAGGTGAGTGTTGTTCAGTTACTGCTTACTTCAGAAGAGCTTGACAGAAAAAGATTATGAAGTAGAGAAGATTGGGAAATGCTACTTACCTATTGTCAAAGGCTACTTTCCCCAAAACTTCTCAAAGCCTTTACTATACCAATGCACATCGTGAATGTACCAATGTATATCTAAGAGAAGGAGCCAGTGTACAGTTCTTCCCAAATCTAAAAAACTGGATTTCTCAAAGGCTAGTATCCCCATTAATCTTTGAGAAATACTCTTCTACCATCGCAACTGCTCTATTAAGGCCCAGCTGTGCATCACTACTGCTTTTCCCACAAGGCTGCTGACACCTCAACTAATTATTCAGAAGGTCTGAAGTGCCACTCTGAATCCTGGCAGGCCCCATGTGCAAATGGAAGATTTCAACATACAGGGTAGTATATGAGCCCAGGAAAGTTAACTAAATGTTCAAACTGAAAAAGGAATGTGTGAAAATTTCATTTTTAAATGAGTACACTCAACAATGAAAATTGCCTATATTCTTATTTCTAGGTCAAGACAGAGAGAAAATGGGCAAAGGACAGAAGATCAGGATATTCCTTTTATTGTCAATTGATATATCAACAGACATACACCTGAAATAATAGTAGCAAACATCATAGTTTCCCTTATACTTAAAATTTATCATTTAATTGCTTATTCCCATCTTATTGTTTCATGGGAAAATGCTTTAAATCCTTACTTTCTTTATACTTTCTGAATGAATGCTTTAATAAATACACCGGAGAATATTGGATTTTTACCTTCACAATATTTCTTATGGTTTTTTAAATTACTGTAGTCCAAGTTGTGCTATGCATTTTATACACAGCTGGCTAAATTAAGAATAACATATATAATCACAAAAGTAAAAGATATTTTATCAAAAAAGCTCATGATTCTTAACAGATATGCCAATCTTTTAGATGCATTTATGATCTTCCTGTCATTGTTTTCTTTTCTTATCTTTATATACAAACAATAGTTTTCAAATAGTTTTGAATGACTTGCTTACCTTCCAACATCATCTCAAAATTCAAAATGATATTACATGCTTGCAACCCTTCCATATTCAAAGGTATTTTTGAAGGCATCATAGCTGAGGGATGCAGTTTGAGCCCAGAGAGAATTAAATTAATATCCTGGCTTGACCAGTTCAACTTACCGTATATCTTCATTTGCCCAGTAATACAATCTATAGCCAACTACTAACCAAGTCAATATGTGGTAAGACTAACAGCCACCCTAACTTGCCTTGATAATTATTCTCCTTTAACTGACATAATATTCAATATACTGTTGTTGAGTGCAATAATGCTAAAATTGATGCCTTGAGGGCTACAAGACAATTGAGTTTTAGCCAGATAAAATGACTTGTACACTAATACTGCTTTATATGGTCCTTTAGCCTTCAGATGTACATTTTATAGTCTACCTGTACAAAAATGCTGTATATAATTATATCCAAAGTCATTTGTTCATACCTTATCATTAGTGTGTATAATTTAAAAATATTGGCCAATAATTTAGTAGCACAGCTTTAGAAGAAACATAAATACAGGTTTATGTTTATAGTCCAGCTTTCTTCTTTTACAAAATAAGTGTTTTTTTACTAAACAATTGAAAATGGTTTTGTATATTGAGATCATGTTTATTCCCCTAATCTAAGAACTATTTTTACAAGGAGCAAGTATATTATAAATACCAAGTGACAAAAACCACCATTTAAAATAAATCTATATTGCATCAATTCTATCAATAAAACAAGACAAACTAAACCTACAGTTACTTTCATATCATTTCTGAAAATGTCAATTCTATATTCTGAGTGGAGAGACACTAAAATTGAAATTTGTCAAAATTCATATATAACTAAATGGAAAGTGACTATAATTTAATTTCACAACAGTATTGATGCTCTTTCTATGAAGTATCTTATCTCCAAATAAGAAACTTGTAGGTTTGTCTGAATTTTTTCTATCATACTTATTTTCTCTTGTATCTTAATAACTCTTTGTATCTTTCATACAAAAAAGAATTATATAGTATATTTTAAATTAGTATATTTTCTCTATCTTCCTTAGAGATATGTTGAAATATGGAGAAAATTAATATCTACTTATTTTAAGGGAAAAAAATCCCAAAGCTCTAATCAAGGCACAACAGGAGAAACCATGTCACAGAGAAAGAGCAGGTTGTACATTGTTATCAAAATGCGATAGTAAGCTGCTAGCAGCTGGTAAGACAAATCAGCATAGCCATGCACATATCTATTTGTTTGAACAGAAAGACATATGCTCCTATTATCTTAGGTAAAAATAGTATATATGTTCTCATTACCTTAGTTAAAAAAAAAAGTAGAACTGAAATACAGCACTGATGACAGAAACAAGAATCACAGTGAAGTAAGACAGTTCCTGCTTAGAACAACATATTGTAGGTTTCGAATAAAGGAAAGACCAACTATTAACCAAACTAAAAGTTCCAGTTAAACATCTATAAGAGGTTTCTTCCCTTATGTAGGAAAAAATTCAATCAAAGCAGACATTAATAATCATGTTGTGGAACTCACTGCAGAAGGATGTGGCATTGCATGGATCTCAGTGCCAGGGATTGTGAAAATTGTTCCAGGATTTTGTTTTTCTGGCCCTTTACTCCTGGTCCCCCCACCTCATGTCCCTTGACCACCCACTTCTTATCTGCCCACATACCCTACTAACATGCCCTTTCAGGCAAATGAGTTAACCCTGTAAACAAATTCTATAAACTCTAATAAGATTATTATCACCATCATCTCATCTTCTAAGGGCCAACATTTTTGTGCCTTCCAAGATGAGGTGCTCATTAAACTAAGAACTAATTTTATTCTGGGAGCCAATAGGTTATTTGGTTTCCTTGGGGGTGGTGGATTGTGATGGTTATATTCTCTTGCACCGGTATGGGTTATACAAATTAGTTACACAAATTATTTCTTAAATTGCAAACATTTTCTACAATATCATTACAGCATATGTCTATGATACTAAAACATTAAGGTAGAAATCTTTCTTTTTCTATTTCTGCTCACCATTCTACCACTACTCTCGTCCTGGAGAGCACCTGGAGGTTCAGCATAGAAGAATGACAAAAATTTCTGTGATCCAATGCCAGGTTTAAAGCAAGGGGAGACTTGAGACTCGCTGTTCATCACATACCAAGCTGGCAGCCAAAAACTTGCATGTAATACAGAGTGGCTCGAGTGATAAACACTGGGAATTATCTCCAGAACTGTACAAGGCTGGCACAGCAAAAATTTATTCTAAGAGAGAAGAGTCAATTCTCCTGGTTTTTACCCTATGAAAAATAAAAAAAAAAACACTTTGGATTCTGCTTTCTCAAGTGAGTCCTCCTTCAACAGAAGGTGTTAGTTTATCATCCCATGTAATGTTTTCAGATCCTAGGGTCTTCAAAAATGTTCTTAACACTTTCCCCCCAAGGATTATGGGAAGGCAGGTGGCCATAACATTTTCAAAAGCCAAGGGCTCATGCCTATAATCTTAGCTACTCAGGAGACTAAAATCCAAATTTTGTGGTTTGAAGCCAGCCTGAGCAGAAAAGTATGTGAGATTCTTATCTCCAATTAACCAGCAAAATACTGAACGTGAGGCATAGCTCAAGCGGTAGAGCACCAGGTCTGACCATCAAACAAAAAAGTCAATGAGAATGGAAGGCTGTGAGTTCAAGCCAGGGTATAAGCCGGAAAGAAAACAGCAAAGTATGCATTGCAAAATTACTCATACTGCATAAAAACAAAGAAAAATGGGTTGGGAGTAGAGTAGGATAGAGGCTGTGGGCCTTACCAGATCACAAGTGTCAATGAGACACACACACACACACACACACACACACACACACACACACACACACACACACACACACACACACACACACACACACACACACGGGCTCTGGGATAGAACAGGTGCCCAAATCTATAATCATGTCTGTATGTTCACCATGCAGTAACTTTAAGGGTTATACTGTGGTTCTAACAGCAGAGTGCACATATGTGGCAGCTCTTTCTTTGATTTGGATAAACAGTAAATAGTGTGGACATACTAAAAACCAAGAAAAAAAAACTACCAACACATCTTCTAGCTGAAGGTGAACAAAAGCCTTAAAAGGACCACATGGAGTATAACCTCAGATTTCATATCCCCATCACCTACCTCAAAAGAGCCCCCTATACTAATAAGGCAACACTAAACTTCACAGGGAAAGCGAGAAAGCCCACATTGTAGAAAGAAAGCGCTGTATTCAAAATGTGCAAACAATTAACAGCAGTCAGCAAAACCACCTTTTTCCTTCTAATATACACCACTAAGGCATGAGGGCCACCTGCTGGGATAGGTCTCCTTTCCAATTTCCTGACCAGACTGTGGGTGTGACTGGCAGGCTAAAGATCAGGTGTGCTCAGGGCTCTCAGCCAACCCTCCACATGCTGGCCTAGAGGTAGGCCTCCAAATCCTCTCCTACCTGAAGGATGTATCCTCGGACATAGTCCCGCAGAGTCCAGCCCAGGCCATGCAGTATGTGCAGCACTTCCTCTTGCTTCAGGACACTGAAGAGCCGGTCCAGCAGGATCTTCAGCCGCACAGGCACAGCCTGTGTCCCGTAGAGCATCAGGCTGCTGATGTCGAACACCACATTGGACTGCACAATCTCAACTTGGGTGGGGTGATACAGGTGCTGCGTGCTGAGCTTATCCAAGGCTGTGGGCATGCCACCAATGTCCCAGGGATGGGTGGGAATAAAGGGATAAAAAGGAGAGAAATAAGAGAAATTAGAAACCTTACTGGATAGGATCAGAGACCCATTTCTAAAAAGGTTCCTACCCATGTATGGTAAAGCACGATCCCCTCTCCTCTCTGTTTTGGGCTCTTTATCTTTAATCTAGGGTTTACAAAGTGCAGACACAACAAATATAAGACAAATTCAACTTACAGAAATCCAGAAAACAAGTCATTGAGGATGTTTTTGAATAACCATCACTATCTCTAAAAACCTAATCCATTTACTAATTGGACTATGGCTCAAGTTACCATGGTGTTCTTCATTTCTCTCAACACCAAATATTCGTACTCTTGCTCAACCAATACTCTTGCTTTCTTCAGCTGCTTTGCTGAAGCTCAACCATTACCATTGATTTGATTAAGATTCAACCCTCAAACTGGGTATGGCGGCACAGGCCTGTAATGCTAACATGCGGAAGTCTGAGGCAGCAGTATCACAAGTTTGAGGACAGTTTGCATGCATGGTGAGACCCTTACTTCAAAAAAAAAATTATAACCACTTATAACACACAAGTTTTAAAGAGGAGGAGCTCCTTTAGACCATCAATGTAACCAGCCTAACTTGGACTTGGCAAAACAGCACCCACTTACTGTTAGCAAAATGAGCTCCCTTCCTGTAGCTTAGTTCAACTCCTTCCCCTCTCCACAGCTTAGCATGCTCCCTTCCTAGGCAACACTAGGCCCATGTAGTAAAGGCAGTAAATAATCAGCCTCCAGCCCCCTTTACCTTGGGATGGCACGTCTCTGGAGCAGCTACCACCATATAAAGCAATAAGAGCCCCTTAGAGTGACCTTCTGGTCTGGGTAGTTGATTCCCAGTAAGCAGGAGGATGGAGAGTTCCAAGCCAGCCTGGGTTACATAAAGCGATAAAGCCTAACAGAGGGAACATGGAAAGCTGACACTTCTGTGGAGGACAGTAGAAATTTCATTCAATTTAAATTAGCTAGTGTGTGTGTTGGGGGGGGGGTGTAAACTGAAAATTCAGTTTGCTCTGATTTTCTCTTTTTTCCTGTGTGGTAATTTTGTCATTACTAGCATGTTCTCTGGAAATTACTCTGGAGGAGTAATTCAGGTCAAAATTCAAGTCACTTTGTTAACAGGTCTGGCAAAGCTCTCAGATGAAAATGGAAACAAATGACTAAAATGAAATTCTGGGAATTTCTAGGTGTTTCAACTAATTGTACTACCACAAAGAAGAAACACGTTGGCCATTCTTGGGAGTAAAAACATTCAATGAAACTAACTAGTATCTCAATAACTGAGCTATTTCTCAACACTTGAGAAATAACATCTCTTCTGGGAACTGAAATCCTTACTATGCTAAGGTCTTAAATTCTATCTCAATTTTATAGGATGGGATCTTCTATAATTGGGAATCTAACTTTTAATAATACAATTCATTTGGCCTCAGTTTCTCCAAAGTTAATAATTAAGTTTATACAGTCTTAGCTACTGGGTTCAAGAGATGATGTGAGATTATTAAGCTGATGAATGAGAAACATGTACAACAACTTAAGACAACACCAAAGGCATTTTCAATAACTATTAGAATTATATCCATATGCCATTGTAGAGATTAAGAAGATAAACAAATAAGCCTGAAAGATGGTCATCTAACCTCATGGGTCAAGCAAATGAATACTGGATAACATCCTGGTTTAAATCACACATGAAAGTACCCAAGATTGCTGAAAATTCTAAGCTACTTTATAGCCTCTCTCAAGTGCTTTCTCTAACACTTTTCCTCCCAACAGTACAGGCTACATATGTAATCTTAGCAATTCCTATTTTAACATACCAGAATTTCTGCATAATAATGGAGGGATTCAAAATGCAAGCTTACAGGTTTTTTAGTATTTCTAATGTATTTTTTAAGGGCTCCTCCTCCACTCTCATTTGCTCCTGACTTGTGGTCACCAGAGAGTTCATGTACTCTTGATAAATTGCTTTCTTACATCCACAGTGTAAAGGCCCTTATCATTTACCCGCTGGCTTCATTCAACACATTTACTCCCAGGAATACTTTGTCAAAGAGTTCGGGTTTCCTCATACTTCATTTCTTGCAGCTTATTTGTCTGATCTTTCCTATTCTAGTGGTTAAGTCAACTTTGAATAAATAGCTTTAAAAATTAATTTAACATTTGGGAAAGATAAGGGATTCACAAGCCTAGAGATTGAAGTCTTCTCTCACTCCACAGGGCATTTAGGCTGCAGAAAAAGCAGAAAAAGGGTATTATCATTCTTGTTCTTCTATACAGCTTAACTATGCAGCCTTCCAATGAGTGACTGATCTGCCTGCAGAATTTAGTGACAGACTTGGGGAAATCAGTTCCTCCTTGTATGCTCTTATCAGCCCTCCAGAACTCCATCACAAGCTTCTTCATAACTCACTGCTCTGCCCACAGCAAATACTGAAAGGATTCCAGAAAGGGTGATATGACACCACCCTGACTTTTATGCAGAGAACTCTGCATCTCTTGGATTCAAGTGTATTTAAGTGTGTTCAAGTGCTCAAAGGAAAACTGTAACCCCTATCACCCAATTAATTTTTTCCCATGCATGTTTTTATTGTAAGAATACTGTACAGAGGGGTTATAGATACATGAGTAAGGTAATGAGTACATTTCCTATCAAGCACTGTAACCTCCTCCTTTGTTTTTCCCCTACCATCCCTTCCCTCCTCACCACCCCAGCTCCTCCCTCCTCTCCCCCGAAATTATAAAGTTCGTTTTCAACATAGTGTCATTGTTACCATGAGAGGCAGTGAAGAGAACAATACCTCCTCCTTTGTTTTTCCCCTACCATCCCTTCCCTCCTCACCACCCCAGCTCCTCCCTCCTCTCCCCCGAAATTATAAAGTTCGTTTTCAACATAGTGTCATTGTTACCATGAGAGGCAATGAAGAGAACAATACCTCTGAGGGTAGAGGTACAGGTACAGGGTAAAACAGGGTACAGATAAAGCAGTTAAGGCAAAATAATAATTCCCTAAAAAAAAACATTTGTAGGGTCAGCATGGTGGCAGCTACTTGAGATGAGGAGGGTTGCCACTTGAGGGCAGCTGGGACAGAATGTGGGAATCCTGAGGTCCCCATCTCTGTGGTGGTATATACCATGGGAAGCATAGGAAAAAAACCATTGTCCAAGATTGGCCAGGCCAAAAGGATGAGACTCTTCATAAAAATAAAAACTAAAGTAAAAAATGTCTAGGGCACCGCTGATTTTAAATAGTAAAGCACCCAGCCTACCTGGCAGATATTAGCCATAACTATCAGCATGAGCATTTCATGTTGAATCTCATCAGTGTATCAATGTTTGCTTTATATATGTCAGATCATACTAAGTCACCAAGTTGTGCCAATTTTTGCATAGATATCTTTTGGATGGTATTTCTTCAAAGATAAGTGGTGATTTAAGCGACATATCTGCAAAGTGAGAAGTGACTTCTGCCCAATTTCATGGTCTTCCTACGCCCGTGGAGGACTCAGGTCTGCAGCCTGTAGGCTTAGGGAGATAAGGTAGGTCAGAGGGAATGAGGAAATGTACTTGTATATCCTAGTCCTTTGACCACCATGACTAGGGCAAGTGACTTGAACAGTGAGAGTAAATCTACAATTTTCTTTAAATTTGTAGCTAATAAAAATACTTGAATCCATGAATTATAGAACTGTTCTACAAGAGTATCTAGAAAAAAAAAGTATTGATAATACTATTTGATCTAAAGTAATCTCCTTCTTCTTTCTCTTTACTCTCTTCCCTCCTTTCTGATTTTCTCTCTCTCAAAAACAAGAAAGCCCAGAGCTGGGCAGATGGCTCAGTAGTAGAGCGCTTGCCTTGCATGCCTGAGGCCCTGGGTTTGATTCCTCAGCACCACATAAGAAAAAAGAAAAAAGCTGGAAGTGGCGCTGTGGCTCAAGTGGTAGAGCACTAGCCTTGAGCTGAAGAGCTGAGGGACAGCACCTAGGCCCAGAGTTCAGGCCCCACAACCGGACCCAAAAACAAAACAAAAAAAAACAAAAAACAAAAAACAAGAAAGCCCAAAGTAATACCTGTTGGGGAACTTTTTCAGCTACATCCCATTCAATTTTAAAATTGCTGTCAGTAAAGATGTGCTCTTTATAGTTATATACAAATGAAATTTATAAATTCTGCAATGGCTAGATGAAAAATATCCTAAACAGTTACATGCCTTATAAAAATGAATTAAAAAAATCATGTCCAAGAGCATTAGCTCAATAAAGAAACACACAAAATTACCATTATCAAATAAGATCACTGGCTCAATGGGTTAGGTAATAGCTTCAAGCTATTTAAAACTATTCCCAGGAAAATTTTGTTTCTACCACATGTTTAGGCAAACAGTCAATAAGAAACTTGCAAGTCCTCATCATGTTAGAAGTCCCTAACTCCCAGCAATCTGGGCTTGCTAACCCATCACAGTGCTGAAGCAAGCATTTCAAAGGTCACCAACACCTGCCTTACTGTGAAATCCAATAGATTCTTCCCTTCATTATTCTTGGTGATGGCTCCACAGAAGCTGACCTTATTATTGATCATACTCCTCCCAAATTGCTCTCCAACTTTGTTTATGCATTCTTTCTCTGTTTTCAAAGAAAAAATCACTGAGGTGGGTGCTGTATGCAGATGCAAAAGTAATTGATGTTATGGCCTCCACTGTTAAGGACAGACAGATGCTGTGGTGAGAATATCATGGCACAAAGAAGAGAGGGAAGTCTGCATGGAAGGCAGTCTCAAAAGACAACGAGGAAGCCGGGCACTGGTGGCTCACGCCTGTAATCCTATCTACTCAGGAGGCTGAGATCTGAGGATCGTGGTTCAAAGCCAGCCCAGGCAGGAAAGTCCATGAGATTCTTATCTCCAATAAACCACCAGAAAACAGAAAGTGGCGCTGTAGTTCA